TGTCCGTGATTAGAAAGGCACAATAGTATAAAGATATAACTTCTCCTAAAATTAATACATAAATTCAATGTATCACAATCTAGTTCAAAATACAATTTTTTTGGAAACTCGATAGGCTCACTTCAAAATTCAGATGATGAACAAATGGCCAAGAATAGCCAGAATAATTTTGAAGAAGGGGAGGGTGGTATGGGAATTAATTTACCAGATAATAAGACTTTGTATGAAGTGCAGTAATAATGGTGGAGCACTGGGGCAGGGAGAGAGAAACAGAAACATGGACCAGAAAGAAACCCTAAGATTTGGGCATAGAAACTTGGAAGGTGAACGGCATAGAGATGAGCAGGTAAAGAAGAATTACGCAGATACAAGATGCACTAATCAGAGAGATGGAAATGAAAATAGCAACAATGTATCATTTTGTGCTCATCAAATTGTCAAAGATTGAAACATCTGACATACCAGGTAATGATAAAGATGGAGAGAAAGGGGAACAGGTACTGAGGGCAGGGGTAACAACTACCTTATAAAGAGCAGTGCGTGTCAGTACCTGGGATCGGTTAAGCTATGCACTGTACGTGACCTAATGATTCCACCTTTAGGGGTATGTCCTGGTGAGGGTTGTATATATTCAAGATGACATTGGCATAGGAATGGTCATGGCACTCATGTATCAAAACAGAAATAAAAACATGATCAGGCTTGGTGCCTGTGGCACAGCGGTTACAGTGCCAGCCACATGCACCCAGGCTGGCGGGTTCGAACCCAGCCTGGGCCAGGTGAACAACAATGACAACTGCAACAAAAAAATAGCTGGGTGTTGTGGTGGGCACCTGTAGTCCCAGTTACTTGGGAGGATGAGGCACAAGAATCTCTGAAGCCCAAGGATTTGAGATTGCTGTGAGCTGTGATGCCACCACACTCTACTGAGGGTGACAAAGTAAGACTCTGTCTAAAAAAAAAAAAAAGTTGATCAATAGGGGGATTAATAAATTATACTACTATAGCAGATAAGCTGGAGCTATTTGTATTTCAAAAATCCAATGATGAAGGAAAAAAGAATCAAAGTGCATAATAATATATACTATTATTTATGTAAAATTCACAAACATCCCAAATAATGGCATATGTTACTTATGGATACATAGATATAAGGTAAATGCATTTTAAAAATAGCCAGGAAAGATATAAAATAATGGCAGGGTTATGGCTACCACTAAAGAGGGTTGGGAGGAATACAAATTGCCATATCTCCCTATCTGTGATGTTAAACAAATCAGTGATTTGTTAAAGAAAAAAAGAAAAGGGAGAGAGGGAATGAAACAGATAAGGTAACAGACTTATGAGGTTAGGATGTTGGTAATGGGTCTTTGCTATGTTCATGTAATTTTCAAGAGTTTATGAAATATTTTATGCAACACATAAAAGATCATTAATCAATCTAATCATGGCTGGTTATAAGTGAAGACAGGGTAATTCTAGGCAGGAAGAAACAAACAAAAGAAAATATAAGTCTTTGGCACTGAGTTTATAGCTTCAACTTCATTTGAAAAAGTTGACTGTATCTCAGATTTGGAAACCCCTTTGGATTGTTTTTTGTTGTTCCCAGGAGAAAGTCCAAGGACGTCTGGGTGCTTCTAAGCGTGTTTATATTTTCAAGGCTCGGGTCTGGCACATGAAAAAAGACAGGGGAACGTGAGGACAGTGGAGAGAGACGCAGGAGTTGGCTGAGTTGGAGGCAAGATTCCAACTCAGTTTTGATTTACATCTAGTGGGAAAATAAAATCAGAGAAGCTGTTGAAAGATGACTACCAGGCACAAAAAGCTATGGACAAAAGTGTCCTAGGATAAATGCGTATTTTTATTTTCAGATGTCTTAAAGCATTTTTTTTCTTGTCTCTTCTCTGAAAAAACGTGTTCTAATAAGGTTCAATGGAGCAAAGAAAGGAATTTGTCTCAAGTTGCATTTTTCATATAATCCATGTTTCATGTACATATAAAGACCCTGCAAAGATCGTTGCTCAGGAAATAATTTATTAAATCAATTTAAAGTAAACATTGCTACCATTGCAGAAACATTTGCTCTGAAAAAGGATTGAAAAATGCATAATAAAGTTACATAGTTCAGCAACAATATCAATATTGATCATGTAAAGTAAAACTGGCAAATCTCATTTAAGCACACTTGGTTATTTTTGATAATTTTATTATGACCAAACGTGTCACCTTGAAAATGTACCTGTGACATTTACAAATTCTTTCAAACACATTTATAAACACAGTAATAAAAATTCCTGAGCTCCTTTTTCTCATACAAGTGTTCAGCAACCAACAACCACGAGGTGTTTCATTTCAATAATATCCCCTTGCATTTCCTTACAAAAACATTTTATTGCATTCATAAAAATATCTGTGCTTCAAGTCAGCTTGTGAGCATGTGTTTTAACATGAACCTGATCACAGCAAGAAAAAAATGCTTACTAGCATGAGCAGCTGAGTTAAAGGGTGTCATGGGGAGGGTGGAAGATGTTGTAGATAAAAGAATTCCAGTTTAGACACTGAGATTCCAAATTAGAATACACTTGACAATATCAAAAACAGGTGCAGTTTCACCTGCATGGGCTGGAGGGCCTCTCAAAGGTAAAGCCCGCAGAAATTGCTCTTCCCTATTCTGGCCAGGAAATTCCCTGCTGGGGGTTCCTTCATCCCCCTGTATCTTCAGTCCTTTCCCTGTCCCATTTTGCTCCCTCGCCCCAAGATTTTAAGATTTCCCTTAAATGGAAGTGTTATCTCCCAGTCCCTAAAAACGTGGCGAGATTTAAAATGTATAAGATCTGATTGATTAGTAAGTTGTAGGAAGTCTGACAGGGTTAAGGTTTCAGGTGGGATTCTGGCAAGATGTGGCAATATATAATTTCGGAGTATCACATGCAATACTTTTGGAAAATCAGCTACATATTACTTCTTCAGGTCATCATTCGTTGTGTGGATCCTGTGTCTGGTGACAGATACTTCCAATTTTGCAAGTTCAAAACACAAGTGGATCCAAGAATTAAAGACAGATGGCTCTAATGTAGGCAGGGGAGAGTCTGTTTGTTTGTGTGCTTTTGACTGAAGCCAAGTTTTAGGGCATGCTACTCACATAAGAAAGAAATTTCTCATTCTTCTGTAAGACATGGCATTAGGGAATTAAGGGGAGGCAGAGGAGAATTTGTAAAGCAGACCCACACACAAAACATTTCACAATTCTGTAATGCAAGCATGAACAGAATTTCATAATGCAAGGTGAAGATTTCTAGGTCTACATCCATTAAAAGTAAAAGATCATCCATTTACACTTCATCTGATGAATTTTGTCAGAAAAGACCTGCTAATAATGTGGTTGAATAATACCATTCAAAGGGATTCCACCTTTTTTTTTTTAAAAATAGTTTGGCCCATCCTTTATAAGCTTCTCTTACTGGACCTCTATGCACCTGTTTCCATCTCACCTTATATTTTTGTAGCTTCTCCTGTGAAAGGGCTGCGGTGAGAGGGGGAAATTTTGTTTTATAATCATATGGAAGGGTGAGAATAAAGGGGAACAATTGTTTTGGTTCAATTTGTACACATAATAGCCTGGATGATGGATCTTTCAGCAGCCAAAAAAAAAAAAAAAAAAAAAATCCTCGAGGAAATTTCTTTAGCCATGCCTGTGTTATTGTGTTCATCTCCATTTTAAATAAAGAAAAAGAAAAAAGAGGAAGAATGGTTAAGGGAAATATTTATTCTGCCAGGCACTGAGCTGCGTATTTTTAATAATGATGTCAATAGAAAAATCATAAGCATATTATTTTTGGATGTCTAAGATTTTTGTTTGGCAAGCATTGTTTTTGGCATGCAGTAAACATGGAGATGTTACGATAATAGCATAACAGCCCATGCTATTGACAAAGATTAAACAATCTGCATTGTCCCCTCAAAATAAAAGGAGACAAATGAATAAATCCACAGAAAACAGAAAACAAAGTACAATAAACAAAGATTTACAGAATGAAAAACGCTGGATAACAAATCAGATGACTACAGTAGTCTATAATTCTATATGTCTTTAAGGCTCAAAAGAGAAAAAATAGACATCAGAAAAACTACATATAGAAATGAATTTTTAAAATAAAAACAAGATTATTTCTGATAAATGGCTGAGTTTTCCCATACCATATTACGTTTGTCGGTCAAATATGGAAAGGATTTGTTTCTAGGGGGGGTGGGGAAATCAATTTGCAAGAGATAATCATTCTTGTGGCTTGTGACAACTACCCTGATGTGACTTATAATTAGGAAAAAATACACACTCCATGGCTTTATTAGTTTTTCATCTGATGGCTTACTTCGTATTCTTTCTAAACTTTTTCAGCCAGTTTTTACTAAGTTTAACAATGTAAGAATGGTTATTCAGAAACTGTAGCACAAACCTGCAAAGTGGTGAATTAGAAAGTATATTCTCATGTAAAAAACAAAAACAAAAACAAAAACAATCCCAGCAATTTCTCAATCGTACCAATCACTTCTAATTACCCATTTAACGTTGAGGAATTTGGCTTGGCATTTGCTAGAGAAAGAAGAACGGCAGAGGTAGTGATAGCTTTGAAAATATGGAACCTTATGCTATTATATAGCTCTACTTCATATGGCTTTACAGAAGACACAATGGCCCAACAGCTGGTTCTAGATTGCTTTGGTTTCCACGTGAGACACTTCCACTGTTGAAAATGAAAGCACAGAGGCAAGCCTCGTGATGCAAGTGACACTCAAGAAGCCATCATCAGTGACGTGAAGCAAAGCCAAGGGGTGGACTTTTAAACAATTGTTCGATCGTACGTTAAATACTTAACACTCCAGAACAGTTGTACAATGAATGGTGTATGATCTTACTTCTAGGCTAAGAATAAGAAAAAAATTAGCATTTTCACAATTCCAACAGAAATATACAATTACATGGTTTTTTTTTTTCAGTTTTGTTTTAGAGATGCAGACACAATCATATTGAAGCTACAGATGGATAGATTGGAAGTCTTAAATATTGATTTTCATTTGTATTACATGATGAGTTTTACAATGTAAGGATTATATATTTCAACGTGGCATATACTATTTTAAGCCACATAAAACAATATAATACAAAATAATACAACAGTTACCGGAAAGTCAGGAATGTCACGTGACAAATACATCCAATATGCCACCGAAAAACAAGAGTATGAGATGTGACGTCTCTTGTTTCTAAACTACAAGCAGCTTTGAAGGAAGGATGTGAGGACATGAAGGGGAGGTAGTTATTTTTAAAAATTCAAAATCCGTTTATTCTAGAATTTTATAAAATAAATTATTTTTATGAGGTATCTTTGCCATATTGTGTTCCAATTTTAGATAACACGATAAAAATCATTTTTCTCCCAGGATTTGCAAAATGCACAGAAAAATATCAGACTGTATTTTGACATTTATTCAGGTGAAGCATAATTTGATATAACTGTTAAAGGTTATTTTGAATGTTACTACTTCAGTTGATAATGTTTTTGAGTTAATTGTTTTTTTCTTTCAATCAGTAGCAGGTAATATGTTAATTAATAGAATAAGGTTATCTGGGAGTCCTTCTGTTCATTGACCACAACCTTATAAAACAGGATAGGTTTGTCTATTTTATTGTGTCTTAGTTTTTTCTAAATGGAAATGAGAGCAAAATAAATCAAGAAACTCATGTAGATAAAATAGCTGCTGGTCTATGAGGATGTGAATTATGTACATTTCTTAGGCAGAAACTCAGAACACTGAATAGATTGTAGATCCAACAGGTTCGATAAAATTTCTGTGTAGTAGGCCACTCTAGGTATTTTGTGAAATCCTGAGATGCCTAAACCTCTGGACACATTCGATTTTCAATTTTTCTATTTTACTCCTTTCATTGAATTCGATACGATGAGTGTCCCAGACTAAAGCTCATCTTGCTGAAAAACAAAGGTCTGGGGAGAGAGAACTCCTGTTTGATTTTCAAATGATAATTTGCTAATCATATATTAAGTCCAGATCATAATTATAAATGTGATTTCTGATTATATGTGAAGCAATAATTCTGTATTTTAAAATTTCTCAAGACCTCCAGTACTTACACATCAACATATTAATGGCCTTTGAATTAACGAAATAATTCCTGGACATGGGCTCAGATTTCTATGCATGTAAATCTCTAAATAGGGTGCGGCTGTGACCTTCCATTTGCCCTTAGATATCTGTGTAGCTGATTTAACCATTTACATAGTCCTTTGCAGGCCCAAATTCTTTGTTTATGAGTAATTTCATTTCTTGCAGATCCAATGGTTGCTACTAACTCTTAGAAAAAATGACAGTCCCTGAAGCGAGGGAGTAAAAGCCTACAAGTATGTAAAGCTAGGAAAGGAAGAGGGGAAACAAGGGTGTTTAATCACTCTGACTTGGAGGAATGGATATCTGTACAAGAGAAAAATTTTGTAAAATTTTGTAAAATTTTGTTAAAAGACACGGTCTCATGTTTGCTGCCTCAGGCCAAGGGCATGCCGGCCATCCTCTCTCACACTATACCTGCCTTTGATCTGAGACCCTGGATTTTACTTAGATGGTGAGAATTGAAAACAGAGCTGGAAGAAGTCTAAGAAACATTTTAGGCCAACTCACGTATTTAACAAGTGAGAGAACTGGTGACCAGATTTTATAGTACTTACGTAAGGTCTTGCAGCCTATTGAGTGGCATTGATGCAATTTGGTCCTGGACGTTGAGTGCTCTGTCACTATCCTAGCAATGACACTGTTGTGCTTGAGCCAAAAGGTAGCAAAGGAAATTTGTCCACTGAAGTACACATGAGGCTTTTATCAAGAGCAAATCTATGTTAGTCACACCAGTTCAAAATCATTAATATTTTCCTGTCCATGTCCAAAGTTCCAGTGTACATGCGTTTTCCTTTCCAGCCTAGCATGCAATTCAGTGACATTCAAAAGTGCATCGATATCAGGGTTTCAAATCACAAGGGGAAAAGCTTATCCCCAAATCATAGCCAGACTCACTTTTTTTTTTTTTTTTGGTCAGGTAAAATAAATTACACTATTCACGTCAGCTCTATAGTACTCCAATTAAACAATGCACAAAATTCACTGAATGCTTGCAGGTTGTTTTTTAGCCATTGTATTGTTCCCCTTCTGGTTTTTTCTCTTTTTATTCCTCCCTCTATTTACATTAAAGAATCCCTATAAAGCGTACTTTCTAATCAATACACTTGTCCTACAAAATGAAAAATTAAAACAAAACAAAACTAAAGGAAGGCACTTTGTAAAATATGTACCAATCTGTTTCTTTCTTGTGTACTCTAAGGAGATAAGGCAAAGCCAAGTTTTCAAGGGATGGGTAGCAGTGAGCAGCCCGAGGGAGAGCCAGATTTCCTCCAGAACCAAACTGCTCCCTGGAACTCAGGAGCCCCCGGTTGTTCATTAACTCGAAAGATTCTCAACTCAGTTGGGTCACCCTGGGCCAAAGAGTCACACTGCCAGGATCTTGTGCCAAACCAGTTAAGGGCAGACTTTAATAAAGGATTGATTATTAGGATTGGGCATAGGCACTTAAGAAAACACAGATTCTTAAGATAGAATCTGGAGAGACCGTTTACTAGATCTATCTAGTAAGTGCAGGATCTTAACTATCTCACACAGTTGTGCTAACCTGTGCTCATATTGGGGGGGCTGTGTGTACATTTGTTGCAACTGATCAGAGAATCTTTTGCTGCTTGGGTCATAAGTTTCCATAAATCAGCCATTGACTGGATCCAGTTTCCATGTGCTTTGAAGCTTGAATATTTAGGTATTTGTTTATAAAAATACAACTTTTTATAACTCAGAGCATAAGCCTTATTAAGCCACTGTGCAATGGTTGTTCATAATTTCAGATGACAGGAAAAGAAATTATTAGCCAGACATAAGCAAGTTGAGGCTGTTGGCCTTGGCGAGAAATGAGTATGGCTTGATTCAGCACAAAATCATAGTTCTAAAGTTTAGTGCTTTATCCATTATGTCTCTTTTCTTTTCTTTCTTTTTTAGAGAAAAAAGTTGCAGTTTTTGGCCAGGGCTGGGTTTGAACCCACCACCTCTGGTATATGGGGCCAGTGCCCTACTCCTTTGAGCCACAGGCACCACCCTATGTCTTTTTTCTATCTCATGCCTCTTCTTTCTACACATATATTTGCACAAAATCTTAGAATATGATTTCATACCTACTTGACTTATCAAAATGCATGTGTAATACAAGATCAATCAAAACAGATGATTTAAAAAGTGAAGGGTAATGAGCGTATCACTGAAGATTACTTCATATTTCCATGAAGAAGAACAATTTTTTGTCAGCTTTGTTAAGATACAAGGCATTGGTACAAATTATCTTTGCAGAAAAATATTTAGTAAGTAATGAAGTCAAGGACTCAGAGTTTAAAAAGACCTTAGAAATGATTTGGCCCAACATCTTCTTTAGGGGAAACTGAAGCTCAGAGAAGGGAATAGGTCTCTCTAAGGCAAAACAGGACCCAACTCAGTCTTTATGTTTTCATTTGAACAGTTGACTCCTTGATAGAAAACATGTTACACTACTAAAAAACTTAATTCAAATAATGCCAATTGACCACAGAATTGAACTAAAGTCTTGATCAAAGTGGCTAATTGGCATTTTTTTGGAGATTAGGTATGAGTCTTTAGCCATGACATTTTTTAATATATGAAAATTATATGTCTAAAGCAGGTTATTTTTATTGTTAAGTTTTCAAGCTCTAGAAATGATTGCTATGAATCTTAGAGAAGAATGAACTATATTTGGCAAGGTTTAGTCTGTATTGGCTTTGAAGGTCTTTGCCTCTGGTTAATGCCTCTCAAGGTAGACTGTATTGCCTGCCCCTCTTGGAAGTTTGGTCTATTTTTTGCAAGTCATTCTCTTATGTGAAGTCATATAAGATTGAGTAATTTAAGACTCTTCGACCCCGCTTTTTTTTTCTTTTGGCCGTCTGCTTATATACAGTGTTGTTCATTAAAAGCCAAACAGATTTGATGTGTACTTTCCAAGAGAGGATTATTTCTGCGCACTAAAATAGCCTTAGTGGAAATGGTCACTGAAGGCAGTGCTTCTCAAACTTCACTGTGCATGTGAATCACCTGGAAATCTTAGGGAAATGCAGATTCTAATTCTGTAGATGTGAGGTGGGGCCTGAGATTTTGCAAACAGAATTTCCCAGCATCACTCAGGTGATGCTGCTGCAGTGGTCCTCAGATGCTCCAAGGACCCAATGAGCTCAGACACCTTTCCCACGTGCTTCCCTCACTCACAGATGTTGTTTATATATCAGGAAATAGAGCTTTGTGTTGATTGCTTTTGCAAAGAAAAAGCAATGTCTTTACCTTCAAATAGTCCAGTTCCTGTCAACATAGGCTTATTGGGGTTGAAGATTTAACTCACAGAAGCATGCTCAAGTTCTCTCTGTCCAGCCAGTAAATGGGTGATTGAGAATAGATTTACCAGCAGGAAAAACGAAAAAGAGAGGGAGATGGTTTGCTCACATAGATGAATGATCCCTTTAAAATGGAGATCCAAGATTTGACCCTTCTCAGGGAGTCCGGCTTTTGAACTGACTTGGAAATTCTTACCTTCTTACCCTGACCTTTGGAGTGGTTCCCATGGCTCTACAAATGACTCCTTTCCTAGAACTTTTATTTGGACACTTCTGAGTGCTCTCTCTGCCAAGATTTGCCAAGATTTTGCAAATGGATCTACTTCAGAGAGATACTAACGCCTGGTTTTGCTTAATTTTTTTTGCCTGCCCAAGATTGCTCATAAAAACAAAACTAAAGCTCTCTCTGAAACAGCATGTCAGAAGATATCACTTTCCTCCTTCACCGGAGCTTTAAGATGATTTACCCAGCGATGGGAAGAAACCCAGAGTAGCCCAAAGCTCACAGGAGAAATAATTTCTGTTCTGTAGAGAGTCCTAAAACTCTAGGTTGTCAGTGGTGGTAGGTATTGTTGGTGATAAAAAGAATCAGATAAACTACATGGCGCTGGAAATTGAATTCTGCCATCTACTTAATATTCCTCAGTGGGTGCTGGGTCGGTATGGACGGCACATACCACTGTGCAGTGTAAATACTCATTAAACCTTGTAGCAGAAAATATTGTACCCACTGAATACGTCAACAGCTGTACTGGGAATATAGAAAATATTCTTTTATTTTACCATAGTGATAGAAAAATAGTCTTCAAAAATACCAGTTAAGCTAATGGGTTAATATTAAAGTAGAATTTGTATGTACAGTAAGGCAGTATTTCCATAAGCATCCTGCTGTGATTAGCTTTTAAATTAAAGTTAGTTTTTTGGGATTTGTTTTTCACTCTTCTACAGAAATGAAGCAGGAAAACATCCTGAAAGGATTCCCCACATGGTATTCATTTGCCTCTTGTGTGAGAAAATGGTAATTTCCAAAACTCGATTCTCCGGAGGTTTTAGAATAAAATAAAATTGGGGGAAAGAGAACCACGTTTACCATATCGTAACCATTTTAAGGAAAATATCAGAGGCATGATTTGACTTGCGTACTGGCAACATGTCAGTAAAACAGGAAGGGAGGCGAATGATTTACCAGGTGTTCTGATACATTCTGTTTTTAAAATGTGCTACGTTGGAATAATCCTAATCTCATCAAAGGGAAGAGGAGTGTCAAGTTTCAGCATTTGGCTTTCAAAAGCAGTTTTCATGGCACTTCCCACCTATTTCGCATCTCCCTGTGGTCAAAACAATTCTAACCATTTCATTTCCAACCGTCACATACCCACCTTGAAAGCCTTTTCCAGAAGTTGTACCTACCGGCACCCTCTCTCAAGAACACTAAGCAGTGTGCTTTTTTTTTTTTTTCATTGAACACATAATTTTATAACTAATCGCAAAAAATAAATCTACGTATCACGGTTAGGAAGCAGAATGATTTGTTCTGGAATCAGCTGTCAGAGAAAGAGGCAAGTGGTTGGAAATGGAGCATGAAAGGAGCCGTGAGATTCAGTAGCCACCGTCTGACCACACCTGGCCCAGTCTCTAGCGGACTGGGTGTCGTGTCCTCTGTAGTGTTACCTGAAGAAAAATCACATTTTCACCAATCCTTCCATGAGTGAAGCTGTCAGGGAAAGGAGTGCATACAACATGCGGGGTCCAGATAATCCAAGCCGCCCAGCTGGACCCTGCAGTTGCTGGGTGTCCCCGTGAAGAAGGTCAGGTCTTTCTCCGCTGGATTCTGTTCAAGTGACGGCAGAGCCTCCTTGGCTGAGTCTTCCAACAAAGCCTCGGTTTCAGCTCGCGGGTCTTGCACCAACAGCAAGATGTTGTTATCCGTGACTTTGGACACCTTGGCGTACTCCTTACTGGTGTCGGGAGCCCTAAGCTGCTCCACACGGTGGCTGTTCTCTTTCTGTTTTGGTAGCAAGGACAGGGCTCCGTCTTTGGTGACCTTGTGAATCTCCACGTAATCCACGGGTTTTGCAGAGATGAAGAGTGTTTTCTCCTGCGGCAGCAGCCAGGCTGCGTCTCGGCCAGTCTTGGATGGGAAGCTTTTCATCTCCCTCTGCGTGGCTACCTCCTCCTCCGGTCTGGTCTTAATGGTTTTAGAGGATTTTAGAACATCCTCTCCCGCTTTGTCCAACAAGGTGGCTGGTGCAGGGCCTGCAGGGCCCACAGCCAGCTCACACACGTCGGCGATGCTGTGGTAGGAGGACCTGGCGCCGGGCTGGCTGGGGTGTGCGGAAGGCCAGGTTGAAGATTTGGATCCGCCGGCATGGAGGCTGGGCCTGGGGCTTTGTGCGCCGACGCTCTGGGGGTCCCAGGTGGGGGTCATATTTGTTTCAGGATTCTCTGGCTTCTCGAGGACCTCAGGAGTTTGGAATGTGGGGGGGTTGGCCCGGGGTTCCTCACACTTTTCAGACAAAAGGGAAGGACTGTCGCAGCTGCCCCGGCCAGAGTCGTTGTCAGGATCCAGGTGTGGGGGTTTGGCGCCTTGCCCCGGGTGTTCCTTCGAATGGGGTGGCATTAACTGCTGGTCCTCACTGTCGTCCACTTCTAAAAACTCTATCAGCAAGTCTTCACAGTCAGAAGTGGGAGGGAAGTCCTGGCATCCCAAGGCGCTCAGTAGTTCTTCAGACTTCCCCTTCTGTAAAACAGACCCCAGGAGAGACAGCTGTTAGCTTCCCAACAGGGCAAGTCGGCAGCCCAGCTGAGGGGGGCCCTTCATTACCATCAGAAGTGCTGAGGGCCTCCCAGAATTCCCCAAACCTCAAACATTTTTGTGCCAGGCCACAGAGGAATTGTAGAATCACCTTCGGAATACTGTACATGAAACATCTTTCTTTAAGTCAATCCATGACTTTAACTTAATCTCTCTCGAAGCCATAACGCCGGTGAGGTTAATGAGCAATAGTCTACACACATGTGATAAACATCAAACTATGAAGGTGTGAATCATCTGGACATGCAGTGCTCATGGGTGGAGTTGACACCTGGGGCCTCCCTGGCCGGGTGGTTGGGAGCTGAGGCTGTTGGCCTCCTGACTTCCTCCACCAGTTTCTCGAGTCTATCAACACGGAGCGATTCTTATTTCACTCCCTTTTCTACTTTTTTCACCTTCCCTCTCCTCCCACTTCCTAGCCTACTGTTTTCTTTCCGTCTACTGCATTTCCTCTTTCCCCTCCCCTTCCTCTTCCTCTCCCCTCATTCTAATCTTCTTTCTACCCCCCCCTTCCTTCTACTCCGCTCTCTTCTGAGCCTCCCCTCTTCTCCCTGACCCTCTGACTCAGTTCAGCTCCCTGGCTTTATCCCCGCAGGGCATGTGACTCTGGACCAGCTGCCCTCTGCACCTCAGCCTCTCCATTTTAAAATGGGAACAATGCTACCTATCTGGGTCAGCTCATTTGAGGATGGGCTAATGTAATTAAGAATATTAAAATTTTTTTTTGACACTGTTAAGCTTAAAAGTCAAATAGACATATGAATGATATGTTTCAACCTGGAGAGAAATTAAAAATATTCACCTCCTTTTTTGATTCAAAGGACTTTAATTCCCTCTTGCATCAGCCTAAATGGGCTTTGGCAAATAGCAGTCCCCACTGTACCCATCCAGCCTCAACTGGGGACTCAGACTAAGCAATCACTGGAATACAATATTCTGTTATTATGGCTTTATGGAAGGAACATCCGAGTGGAAACTTTTACCAATGTATGACAAAAAGGGTGGTGGTAGGTCCCTGGTTTGTATTAATCAAAACATTCACCCTCTTTCTAAATTGATTATTTGCACAAAATGTTTATGTCTGTGCTTGTGAGTGGACCTGGTAAGTCCAGCAAGCATTACTATGTGTTTTCATTTCTTGGCTTTCGCTCCTTGCTCTCTGAGATTTCCTATCTGACAGCCAGCGCCCTCACACTCTCACGCATCCACCTGTTAACACCCAGGCTGAGACGGCAGTCAGCCCAGGAAGGCTGCCTGAGAGGGCCAGGCTGAGTGCATGGGCACTGTGTGTGTGCATGTGTGGCGTTAATTGTCACAGAGCCGGTGAGTCACACTACATTCACACGTCGCCACTTACCTCCAGCAGGTGAGTATCGAATCCTTTTATTTTTGGCCCAGGAACTGGTGGGAAGATGCAGGTCACCATGCTGTAAAACAATTCGTGAGACTGGCTAAGCGATTCATTTCTGACTTGTAATTTTCATAAGAATGGTATTATCTCTAAGAAGCTGCTACATGAATTGGGGGAGGTAGGAGTCAGAGTTTTGAGGCTCCATAAAACTAATACTCAATAAGGAAGATAATTAATAATAACAGTCTGACATTAAAGTTAGCTCTAATTAAAGGAGGCTGATGTTGAAGTTAGTAGATTCTTTGGACTGTTTGGTTTTTTAAAATTTTATCTACTCTTTATAGACTTTTACTCTTTTACAACCATGAATTTCTATTTAATAGAGCATGAGGCTTAAATGAGTCTATTTTTCTAGCACTGATAAAAGATTATTTTTAGGCAAACAGGCTGCAACTAATGGCTGAAGTGAGATAGCTTGGATTATCTGGAGGTTCCTATCATCTTTGTGTTATCATCCGTGACGACTGGGAGGAGGACTGAGAGGACAGTGAAGTACCTATAGCCTTTCAAGGCCACTGCCCACACCATTATCAAACAGACGATGGTAGAGAGAACGGCCACAACAATCCACACGGTTGCATCTTTCATGGTGAAGTCTAAAACACAAACAGCCAGAAAGCTTTGATCACATACAGCATCACCAAAAACAAACAAGCCTAATGAATGATACTTTTGAACCCAAGACATTTCTTTCCCCATCTATACCTCTTTTGATTTGAACAGCAACCCAAACAAAGTAACATCAAAGACAGGTCTAATTTTTGCCAATGTTAATATTTTAAGATGTTGCATATTATTTCATAGTACTCTACAAATTTACAAATGGTTTCACATATCTTTTTATGAGCCTTGAAGAGGAAATCCAAGGCCACAGGTCAGTTGCAATAATAATAATATAAGCTAATATTTATTAAGTTCTTATTAAAAGCCATCAGTGGTATTAAGCTCTTTACATATGTTACCTCATTATATAGATAAGAAAACTGAGACTCCGAGACTGGTTTATATAATTGCTATATAAGTGGCCATATACCTATAGAACTGAACTCTAGGGTTTGAACCCAGACCTGCTCCTTGACCTTGTGCTTTTATTTAATAAGAGCAAGGACTGAACTAGATGCTTGTCCTCATTTGCAGTTCAGCGCTGCTTCCAGTACGCTAAGCAAACGAAAGGATTGCAAGTTGTGGGAAGAGCTAGACTTTGCAATGTGGTCCTGGGAGAAACCCCTAACTTCTTTGAGCTTTGTTTTCTTAACTTTTAATTCCTAATGGCAATTACATCATCTCTGAATACCTGAGAGCGCTGGGAAAACCAAACTAGGTAAAAATTTTGTGAACTGTATATTATTTTAGAAATGCAGGAGGAATAATTCCTCTATAGAATACGAGCCGAGTACATCTTGTGTATCACGCCTTGCCTAAGAGACTGGCATGGTGATCCACCTCAGAGACTGAACACTAGTTCATGGCTTTGAGATGGGATACTGACTGGGAGAAATAGATAATGACATTGACCAGACCCTTAAATGATGGGGATGGGGCAAATGATGGGGGCAGAAGGACTGATCATCAAGCCCTTTGTGGCATGCCAGGGCCACATCTGTGGCTTTACCATAGAAACTGCACCTTACCAACAGTAATTCAGGGAGTGATGCTTCCCTAAGAACGATCATACACCCACCTCTGCTATTCTTCTGGTAAGGCTCAAAATTATTTCTCTATTAGTAGTCTATGTAAATTTTCCACTTAAAAATATTTAGGATTGTAAGCAAAAGGAAGCCACAACACTTACCACTGGGTATCTGGATGGAGCTCTCTTGGCTCCATTCACTCCAAAATCCATGATCTGGCTTGCAGCGAACTTGGACAAGATATTTCTGTCCTTGATGTAAGCTGAAAATCTTAAACTGTGTTTGCTGCCCAGCAAAATGGATCTAAAGGGCATAAGAAAAACAGAAATCATTTCTGACTTTTTTGTGAAGAAAAATAATTTTCCCCTAAATAATAAACTATAGGAGGAGTTAGGCTGTATGATCGCTTGTAGACGAGACCCTATTCACACCATCCCACTCTCTCAGCCCTGCATTTAAAAAGTGATCACACAAAATTTAACAGGTTTTCTTTCTCTTCCTTTGGAACTCAATTTTAGAAAGACAAATATTCTGCCCCCACCTTGTACTTTCTGAAAAAGAACAAGTTAATAGATAAGATTAATAAGTTAATAACAAGTTAATAAAGTTATGTAGACAGGATAATTAAATGGAAAATTATTTTGTAAACCCTAATGAAATTACTGATTCAAGGATTATTGATTGGTGTTAAAGCCACAAGGTAGAAGAGAACTGGGTATTTTTATATGTTAAAGTAATAGTATACGAGTTAAATGTGACTTTGTAATCAACTGATCAGGTTGTCATCTCCACAATCCAGGGGTCGGTTTGAGAGTCATTTATGATGGGTCACCTATGTTTGTGTCTTTTGGTAAGATCCCATATCAAGTACATAATATCACCTCTGAGGTATGCTTGCCAAAAATTTGTTTACATCTAATCAAGCCTTTAGAGCTAATGTACAGGAAATGCAGGGGCAAATAAATTAATTAAAATGATCCTACAAAGAACTAATGAGACAAAGGAAGTGGTTGGGATGTTCTATGGGGCCAGTGGCCCGGTCTCCTGAGTGCATTGAAATGGAAGGGATAGAACCACCACCATGATGCATAGTCCAGTCCTGGGGTAAATTATGGTTTGGACAAACTACCTATTAAAGATATTTTTTGAGAGTGAGAAAAATTAGCTAGGGACTGGTTGGTAGATGGAATTATGAAATTTTAGTTATTTTCCTACACGTGATTTTATTATTTTGGCTATATTTATAAGTGTTCTTTTTAAAAAAGAAGCATATACTAAACTATTTATGGGTAGGCTATCATAATGCCCACAATTTACTGTATTATTTATTTATATTGAAGCATTTTAAGATAAAGAAAAACACAAGCATTGACCATGGACCAGTTTCACAGAGATTCTCCTCCCACACCCCAGTGCCGTTAAGTACTCTCATGGGTGTCCAGATCTGAGATGTATTGAGAAAGGCAGGCTGGGAACCAGTGCAGTATGAGAAGAGCCCCAGGAGAGCTGTGAGGAGGAGCCCCTACAACTCCAATGGAAGGGAGGACGTTCCACATCTGCATGGGTCACATCGTCATTGGGAGGTCAACATAGCGGCCCCCAAGTTAGGAGAAAGAACTGTTGTCAGTTGTGAGGACTTCATCCTTGCTAAAGATCATGCTTCCTTCAAAAATCTCATGGGTGACTCACCTCCCATTCAGGTGCTTTCTCGGGTTTTAATCTGATTTCATACTGGAGTGTGAGCCAACCAGATCTTACGTCAACCAGGGTGGGTGGAAACCATTTCATCCACAGATATGGTATTTTGTCTTCTGGCTGTTTTAGTTCTAACGTCAGGTTCGCAGGTGGGTCTGGTTCAACTGTAGACACACAGGAAAATCCAGTAGCAGTCATTTCTTGTACCCTTTATATTTGGCTTTATCACTTTTTATTACAAATTGCATTTGCATGTCAGCTCACTGCACTATGCAGCCCTGGAAGATGAGTGCCATGTCCTCCGCCTTTTAATATGTGATCAATCACACTTGTGCTTGAAGGTGAGGTTGGATGGTAAAGTAATAAGCAGCTGAGAGTTCACTCTTCAAATATTTCCACTGTCCACCACCCAGGGCCACATAGTCCCCCCAATAATTGTCATGATCAGTGATCAGATGACACAAATTGAGCTGCGATTTGCCCGTGGAAATTAGGGTGGAAGATTATTAAGATGGAATTTCAAATAGCCTATTTCTCTCAGCTGGAAGTGAGATTCTCCATGGTAACACATAGCTTTTGTGAACATTTTACTAATAATCTTAACTGTTTAGGTAACAGATTTACAGATTCCATCTTTGCTTCAGCAATGACATTTTATGTTCAATACACTCCCTATGGTGAATGGAATTCACTGGCAAAGATATTAGATTATTAAAATGTGTATGGAGGCTAAACGTTTTGGCAGTGGCCCTCAGAACAGCCTGTTAATCCAAATACTCAGCCAATGTTTAGTAAATTCTTAGTAGAAAATGATAGCTAACATTTCTCAAGTGCTTAGTACACTCCGGGGACTACACAAAGGCACAATCCCGGAATCATTTAATCTTTCCAGCAACTCCACGAAGTACTATTATCATAGCTATTCCTTCTATAAGGGAAGAAACCATCTTAGAGGAGGGAAAATTATTTGCCTAAAGTTACATACAGGGTGTCCATAAAGTGTGTATGCAATTGCCCATGAACTTTATGGCTGCCCTATATTTGGCAAAAGTGGTATTTGGACTCAAACCTGTATGACTTAGAGGCAGCTATCTCTCTCATGTCACCCCACGTGGTCATAAGCAGGGCTGAGATTAGTTTAAAGCAAGCGAGATGCACAGGGTTGCAAAATTTAAGGAGGCAAACATGGCCAACAAGCCTGTGAAAAGTGGCTCAATGTCGTTAGTCTTCTAGGGAATACGCATCAAAACCACAGGGAGATACCAGGTCACATGCACTGGCATGGCAAGAATTTAGAAAATGAAACATAACAAGTGTTGCGAAGATGTGGGGAAATTGGAAGCGTCCTGCCTTGCTCAGTGGGAATGTAGAGCGATGCGGCCACTGTGGAAAACAGTCTGGAAATTCCTCAAAAACTTAGCCACAGACTTGTCATCATCACCCATCAATCCCATGCCTGTGTGTCTATGCCCAAGAGAACTGAAAACAGATGCTTAAGGTAAAGACCTTATGCATGAATGTCCCCAGCACCACCATTCACAATAGCCACAAGGTAAAAACAAACAAAAAACCCTCCAAAGCCAAATCAACCCAGATGTATGCCCACTGGTGAATGGATACAAAGTACGGTACAGCTGCGTGCCGTGGGATTCCATATATGTGAAATAGCTAGACCAGGCAAAGCCCCAGAGACAGAGGGCAGATTAGCAGCTGTCACGGGAGGGAGGAGATATGGAGTTCCCATTTAGGAAGTGTCTGGACCTAGACAGAGGTGACGGCCATGTAACACTGCAGGTGCCATTCAATCACACACTTAAAAATGGCACACTTCTTGGGGGCGGGATACAATTGTAAGAGGGACTTGGCCTAATAAATGTCATCAGTGTAACCTAATTCTTTGTACCCTCAATGAATCCCAAACAGTAAAAAAATTCCTCAAATGGGGAATTTTACATTTTGTGCGTTTTGCCACAATAAAAAAATCAAGGAAAGGAGGCACTTACTCTCAGATTCCTGTAAGGCACAGGTCCTGTAAGTCCCTCCCTAAGAGTGATTGCCACAATAAAAATAAAGAAAGGAGGCTCTTAGTCTCAGATGCCTGTAGGTACAGGCCCTGTGAGTCCCTCCCTAAGAGGGAGGCGCCCAGCGGAGCTAGCCTGCCTCACCTGAGTCTCGGTCCTGCTGGTCAGTGACATTTTCTCCATTTCCTACCTCCCTAAATCAGTCTTTACACTGGTCAGGGAGAGAGTAAGGGTAACATAGTGCACTTGGCATTATTATTATATTATATTATGTTATGTTGTGTTATAAAAACTGAACTTTATGAAATTTGCCACCAGTCCTATCACTTATATGTTACTGAGTAAATACCTAAGAAAGATTATTTTGAAAATATTTGCTAAATAATTATTGGTTAATATTAGTTAATTAAAGTAAATTTAAAGTTAAATACAAACTGATAGAAAACATTTGTCCAGAAGCAAAAATGCAATGTTCAGGATGTTTCCTGTAAAGCAAACCTTCTCGGCATCAGCACTACTTCCTGTTTTGGACCAGACGGTCTTCTGTTGCAGGGGACCTGTCCTGTGCTTTGCGGGATGCTCAGAAGATCTTGGGCTCTATCCACTAGATGCCAGCAACCCCCCTCCTCCTCCTTCCCTGGGTTCTTATAATCCAAATTGTCTCCAGACATTGTCAAGTCTCACGTGGGAGGCAAGGTAGCCCCGAGTTGAGAACCATCGCTTTGGAGTGCCTTAAATAAAGCTAAACAGCACTCGCAAAGCTCAATTATACTCAGCAACAAGGCAATCTGTGTCTAAGCAGATACCGGCCAGTGTTGTCATTCTGTTCTGCAGGTTATCACTGGGTGAGAGCCAGAACATGAACTGTTCACTTTAAAATGAACTTCCACGGCCTGTCACCAACTCTGCACCCAGCATGAAGACTCCATCAACTCACTTAGATTATTTTGAAAACTATGGTCTAACGTTTTTTCACCAGAGAATTTCTTTTACAGAGTCAAAGTGAATTTGATACGTATGTATAGATTTCACTTTTTAAACACATTCTTTCTGCAAGCTCCTTTTTGTGTGGATTCTAGTAATTAGAACATTTCTTGCTTTCGTTGTTTTGCCCTCAAATGTTAGAACATTTGGGGGTAAAGCAATTCAAGAAACAGCTCCTGAAAATGGAATTACTTGGCAGTTAGCATCTTATAACACTTCATATCTCAAGTAGGTAGACCAGAATTTGTTTTATTCCTCCCTGCCAGTGAGCAGTGAGACTGCCTTTCTGACTTTCTTAAACTAAGATTGAATGCAGGTTCCACCCTCATGCTCATCTTGCTCATTCCAATGACTTGTTGGGGGAAGAAAATAGTCAAGAGTGAATGACTATTGGTATTGGAGGCATTTCTGGGAAATGCTTCACTGGAAGTTTTTAAGGATCGACCACTGATAATATGCCAGTGACACTGAAGAGTCCCAACCTGATTGTCCTTAACACAATAACTAAGAAAATGCCACGAAGACTGTGTTGACCAGTTTGATGAAAGCATTTCAGATTTTGCGTAAAACCAGCACATTGTGCCCCATGATTGCATTAATGTACACAGCTATGATTTAATAAAACAAACAAAAAAAAGAAAGACTTGGGTGACCTTCAACCTACTTAGCTACTTTATAGATTGATAACCTAAAAGAGGGCTGACATGCCCTCTCTTGTCCCTTTGCCATTCTTGCTAAAGAATAAAGGCCGCTACAGCTATGCTCAGTTGCTGGGAAGCTCAACATTGATCATGCAAACCAAGAAGACCCTCTCAGATTAACTTAGTTCTACTTTGTTAATTAATGACTTCTCCAAACATTGTACTTGTGATCTTGGCTTTCAACCTGATGCTCAAGTAACACTATTTATTCCACAGTTGTTTTTTCATAACATAATAGCTCAAGTTGCTAGGAAGGAGAAGGGGGGGAGGAGAAAGAGGAGGAAGGAGAGAGAGAGAGAATTGAGTGTTTGTGGCAAAGCAACTTTGGAGCAATTGCTGTGGATGCAGAACCAGACAAACCCCTTCTCAGAGCGGCCTCTCTGTAAAGCATCTCTGTCTTCCATGGGCAGAAAGAAAAAAAAAAATCCCACCTTGCCATGGAAGAAGGAGACACTGATTTCAGAGGAGGGAAGGAGAGAAACACTGACAAGGCAGCACACAGAACATTCATGCTGGGTGCAACAGGATGGGATCAGAGTTAGGACATAAGGAACCCAAGTGCCAGCCTCATTGTCATGAATGACTCAATCAAAATTGATTTGAAATGCTTGGTTGACAAGGGTATTGTGAGTTTTCTCACCTTTCTTTTTGGAGATCCATCCAAAAGCCAAGAAGATACAAAATGGAGTAGCAGCTTCCCCACCCATTCCCCTTCCCCTTACCGATGTAAGTCACATCCACGTAGAGTGGATCTGAGGAGCTGCTTCCCATCTGGTTAGTGGCGTTCACCGTGATGATGTACAATTTCCATATGGAGGTATGCTTCTTGTTAAAGTAACAGGAGTTGGGGCCACTGGTTTTGTAGTCTGGACATTCGTGGATGAGTGTCTCTCTGCAATGAGTAATATGAGTGGGTAACAAAGTAATAAAAAGAGTCTAGTTTTTTTCTTAATAGACTACTACCCCTGGCTTTTAGGGATCAGTCATTCCAAGAGCAAAGACTAGAGCTGACGAGTGGCGGCCCTGGGCTTACTGTGGGGAGTGAGAGAAGAGTGTGCCGAGAGTGTTACTCTGGGGCCTCAAGTATTGCGTCTCATCGGCCCTTCTCTTCTACCAGTGCTTTCACAGGCTTTGTGATCTACGCCCCCTGGCAATAAACACTGGTGCTTCCCATGGCCAAGGTACCACCATACTCCAGGACTGCCATTGGTTCAATTCATGGAACTGGGACTTCACTTGTCTACACACACAGTGGGACCATGCAGAGTGCAACATATACTGCATGTGTTGAATTATATTTCATTATAACAAAATTTGAGAGAAGAAAAACACAATGCCAGTATATCTCAGCCTGCACTAGGTCAGGAACAGAGTGAAATGACCTTGAAAGGAGCTATTTCAGGCTCCAGTGGCTCAGGAGGCTGCTCATATTTAGACTTTGGAGCCTGAACCCAAGACGCACTGCATAGGTACGCAGGCTGTTGGATTTGGGTTGTGTTTGAGTCCCTGAAATCTGTTTACATGACACCCCTTTGGATCCCAGCTGTGATTACAGATTGTGTACAAACGAAGTGCAGTCACTGGAGAGTGGGCCAGCTTTCCCTACCAGAAACTGTTTTCTTTTGGGGGAGAAAGATATAGCTTTCCTAGGATTTCCAGGAGGTTCTCATCAAGAACACAGACGGGATCTCATTTGGTCCCTGTGGCAACCTTAGGTCCAAATATGCCCTCAAGGAGATCATGATTCCTGAATCAGCAATTTGCTAAGCAAAAAAATCCTCACTTTCTTTTCCTTACAAGGTTGTTTATTTTCTCTAACATGAAACAAATTTGAAAACCTAATGTACCATGCTTGTGAAGGATTATATGGGGCCATTTTGTCTAATTCTCTATGTTGCAAAAGTAACATATTTATTGAAAAAGTAATAAACGGTACAAGGTTTATAGATGAGCAGCTAAGATTAACCAGCATGTAGGAAACACTTAGAAAGGACCTTGGGTTGCAACCTCGGCTGTGACAGGTAATTTGAAACATCGCTAAGATTGTATGGCCGCTGTGGCTGATGACCCTACATAGAGTGACAGAGCTCTTAAAGGACATTGGCAGCAGAATGTGGGCATGGACCGTAGACTCCCCTCTCCCCTAACAATATGAGCCTTCCTGGCATAAATCCAGCGAGTGCTGTAATTCAAACTCAGGACCAGTTCCTTTGGCCTGGGGAACGGGAATATTAGGACAGGAGAGGAAAGAACATTTTACCCTTCCTTGTGGTAAGTCAGCGTGTAATTGGTAGGAAGTCCTCCATCTGTACCAGGCTCCCACCAGCAGGTAAATGTTTCCTTTTCGGGAGAACGACATTTAGAGATCTTAGGTTTTCCAGGAGCTGATTGTCCTAGAAAAAGCCAAAGCCACTGGAGTCAATATTGAGGGCCATTCAACCCTTTGACTGTTCTGCTGGTGACAGAAGCAGATGGATAGGATCAGGGCCAGTGATAAGGTGGCAGGTGAGTGGGCTCAAGGTGGGGTGCTTCAAGGTGCCCGAGTGTCAGCATCTGGGAGCACTCTTCAGTGGGCTGCCCTGCCATTGGTGGGGCTTTGCAGTGGGGGTGTGTGTGGAGTGCATGTGTGTGTGTGTGTGTGAGTTTGTGTGAGAGTGTGTGTACTTTGATAACAAGAGCCTATGTGAGGACCAAGTGACTGATTTCAACAAAGAGTGAGTCTTAAAAGCAAGAGGGATGTGCATGGCTTTAGGGGTATGTGGTGCTTCTATAATGCCCAGAGTCTGTAAAACTGACCCCATCCCCACAAAGCCTGAGAAGGACAGCAACTTACAGACTCTTTGTCCGGACATGGTGTTTGGGCATGTCCCCACTCGGCTTGACAATCTCCATCCGCCTGCCCTCCCCACCACTAACTCAACCTGCCCCTGATCTGCTTGTCCCTTTATCTGGGCGTCCCCGGCTGCCGTCTTCCTCTCTCCCTTCGGCTTCTCCTTCCTTCCCTCTCCCTTTGCTAGTCCTTGATTCCATTCACCTTCACCCAGTCATAGTCTATCCCCCTCCCAATCCTGTCTGTCTCCATTTCTGAATCTTGGTCTTTAGTCTCATTTTCTTCTTGAATCTCCTTCTTTCCTTGCATCTTTCTGTGGTGAGATGGCCAGTGACTATTATTATCCCAGGGCTGTATCCAGCCCCAGGCGAGAAGCTAGGAGGTCTGAATGAGGCGGTGTGGAAATACAATGTCAAGGGGACAGAATTGTTTGGTTGCTTAATCCTCAAAGCTCTTGGCATCTGGTCCCCATTTCTCTTGCTTGGCTGTCAGGTCCCAAGAGGCACAGCGTAACCCTGGGGGTTTGCCCTGGTGCTGCTGGGCTGGGGCCACCCATGCCCACCCATAGCGAGATGCTCTTGCCTTTAGTCAGGAAGTCACGAGCAGAGAGGGCAGCTTTCAGATGTGGGTGGGTCTCAGTGACTCAGCCCCTTCTGTTTCCTCTCACACTCCTCCCCCAGTCATTCAGGGCTGGTTCCTAGGCCAGGGCTGAGCACCAGATCAGAAAGAGTAAATTTTTTGGAGACCTCAGTGAGGGGAAACAGACAGGGAGAGTGGTCTGTAGGCAAAGAAAGAGGAGTTTAAGGAAATGGCATGCCCAGGCCAGGGCCCAGGAAACCAGGCTGGGAGTGCCAGCTGCAGCCCAGTTCCCCTCGAGCTGCCAGGCTCTGCTGAAAATGATCCTGCCAGCCTGGTGCAGCTCTGCCAATGTTGTAACATTGCTTGTCTTCTAGGGACAACTTCTTCAGGATCATGTGTTGTTGGGAGTCACAGCAAAAATGCAAAGTTTTGTTTGGTTTTTGTCCTGAGAGGGAGGGAGGGGTATGTGAAGTTGAAAGAAAATTTTATTAAAACATTCAAACCTTATGGTTCAATAATGATCACACGTGGAAGCCAATTAGGGCAATCACTGGTTATCTGAGTATTTAGAGTTTCCCTTGCTGATTATTCTGACCTGTGCTTTCCCTTCTATTTCTTTCTGAAAGCTTATCTCGTTCACGTTTTACTGAATGGTAAAAGTAAGGTAGAGTTGTAAAATTATAATTAGTAAATATTCCCTTCTCTACTCTAGAAAAGACTATTAAACTCACGGGACTATCTCAACCCACAGGAATGTGTAGTATAGTATACAGGCACCACATATGCACATATGTAGACACACGCCCATCAAGAGCCCACATCAGAAGTACATACACATACATGGAACAACACACAGGGGCATGGAAGTACACACTAGTATAAATACAGGTACACACAGAGAAACATAACACAGAAATAGGTGGAGGTACACACATGGGCATATATCCATACATGGAAGTATACACGTATGGGTACACACAGAAAAGCATTTTAAATCAGGCACATATAGAAATATACACACAGGTACAGACAGAAATCTGCACACCACGTATGGCGTGGTAGAGATACAGAAATATACCCGTCCACTCCTTTAGCTGTGGACTTTACTTCTCCATTAGCAAAGAAAGTAGAGTTAGCTGTAGCTGTTCCAGTCTCTTACATCCCGTTACTGTTTTTCAAAGATTTTTGCATGTACATGATTTCATCTGAGTCACAGTCACTATCCTCACGTTGAAACTTTGGAAACTCAGAGAGATTAGATCATTGGCTTAAGGTCAGACAGCCAGTCACTGACTGAACCGAGAGTAGAACTCAGTCCTGGCATCTTCAGAGCTGTCTCATTACCCTCCCGAAATGAGGATGGAAGGCGGAGAGCACAGTCAAAAGATTTTACATCAATTGCATTAATTTTTTTGCATTAATTTCAGTGTAAAAATATCATGAGTAATTTAATAGCAGCACATGCCACAAACATTTTCATTTGTCATAACAGCAGTGCAAGGAGACTGTCAAGAGAGGGATGGACTGTCAATTCTGCTGACAAACACCTGGGCACCGGGGGCGAGCAGGGGACAGTCTCTTACTCACCGTTCAGAAGACTGACGTTGAGAAGAAGTAGCAGAACGGAAGCCACCGTGGACACCGCATTTTCCCTCATGTTGACTCCCTTGTCTTGCTGTAGGAAATGGATCAGAGGCTCACTGGAAGAGAAGGCACCAGGCAACTTTTATGAAATGACAGTCTGGTCAGGCACATGTACCACTTTATTCTGGGTGTTTGCAACTGATTCTTGCTCCTTAACACGAAGGACAAAACAGGAGAAAAGAATGTAGGAAAATGTAACAGGGCCGATGGCTTGGCTCAGAAGCGTCGATTCACACATGCTGGAATAAATTCCACCACCAGAGGTCCTCAGATGACAACGCAGAGCATTCTAGGGGCACCAGGGCGGTAGGCTCCTTTGCACACATCCCAAAGAAAAATTGTTCTCTTTCTACCCTGTAGCTGCCTAACAATCTATCACCCATTTTATGTGGCATGGATTGCATGCCCTATTACACAACCCTTCTAGGAGGGCTCTGGCACTGATCCACTAGCTGAAAATAGTCCAGGCTGAAAAGTTAATACCATCAGTACAACCCCGTTCAGGCCACCAAGTCAAGGGGGCTTCCTCTGAAGGTTCAGGCCGAGAAGGTTCTAGAAGTCTTCTGGGTTCTGGGCATGACCATGATGACCACAAAGTGAACCACACAATGAACTCTAGTGGACCTCTACATGGTTTCTTTCTCTCTTTTGAAAATCCCCCATAAACAAGAGATAATAAACTCCAGTAATCACTTAAATCCCTTGGGTTCAGAGTATTAATTTTGAACCTGCAGGGGTTGGGAGTTTTGAGCAATTTATTATTAATATTACTATTTTCACCCTTGGAACAATATTCAAAGTCTCTAAATGTCCTTCTAAGAAAAAAGGATTTTTAAAGACATTTTAAAAAAAAGGCTCATTAGTCTTGTTAGACTTCAAACAACTCTCAGAGAACAATAGATGTGATGAACTAAGTATAAATTCTCAGAAATACATGGCTTAAATTTTCCTTTAAATTTTTATTATTATTTTTTTAAAACCAGAGAAGGACATTTAGGGTCAAAACTGCCCATCTTGTGACATTTGAAATGACTGAGTGTTCTCTGATGAGCCCCTTAAAAGACCGGTCTTCGTCACCCCTCCTTTCCAAAGAGTGGTTTTCCATCTGCCAGACAGACGACACTAATGGATAGCTTCTTGAAGGCTTTCTCCACTTGCTCCTACACTCAGAAATCTTAGAGACAATAGAGGTCTGGGGCACACAGGCACCACTCAGTAAGACTCTAGGTTCAGTGAAGGATCCTGAGAGCAGCACGTGTCTTGTTTGTTGGGAGACCCTCTACTTATGATTCCTTCCGAATGCCTCCTGCTGGCATACATTCTAAACCACTTGCTCCATCTCAAGGTCATCTAATTTAAATCAAGTGGTTAAGGCTCCTAAAGGATTTTAAATGATGCCTACCACTTCTGGAACACTTGCTGTGGGGTCAGGTACCTTTATCATTTCAAGTTCATTTTGCCCTCACACTAGCCCCATGCATAGATGCAGGTTTTGACAGATGAGGAAACTGAAGTACAGAGAGGTTTAGTAATTTTTTTTTTTTTTGAGATTTAGTAATTTATCAGTTATGTGCCTCTGGGGAAAAGACATCTGGCAAATCTGACCTCTAATAAATTATCCCAATCTGTGAAAAGTCTGTGACGGGTGGTGCAATTATTTCCCCTTCTGTGGGAGAGATGGTGGAAAAGTTGACTGATCCAACAAATTTTGGGTGGGAGTAGCCATCTCAGCCACTGCCCCGCTCATGCCCAAGGACTTCACATTTTATGTGACATAGATTGAATGCTTTAGTACACAACCATTCTAGGAGGGCTCTGGCTCTGATCCACTATGCAAAAATAGTCCAGGCTGAAAAGTTAGTATCATCAATCTCACTAATCCAACTTCACTGGTACATTAGTCCTGGAAGGGTTCTTTGTCCTGGTGATATGGTGATCTCAGCCTGGCTTGGAGTTAAGATTCAACCCACAGGTTGTAGATCTCCTGTTATATAATATCCCTTTTTTGAGACTTCCTTGTTCTTTCTGGCATTGCATTAGTGTGCTATAAATTACACTTTTCTGGTGAGGTCAAGGGCTATCCAGGTATCTCCGCCAAAGCAGGTCTCCACATGTTTTTTTGCAAAAGAAACTCTGGGATGGGAAGCAAACTGGGACAGACTAGAGCAGATTATTGTCATCTGCTGCTAACCCCTCATGTGCTGCAGCAGCATCAAAGACAATCTCTTAAATAAAGTTCAAAATGCTTTCAGGAACTAACAAGAAATAGTTTTCTTCTAGGATTTCCTAAGATAGGTCCTGAAGTTTGGTTATGGCCATGCACTTTATAATGCCTGAAACCCCTGGGCCAGAAAATTAGTAGTTGTGTTTTCAGTAGTTTTCTCATCTTGAATCTTAATCTTCATCAGGGCAAACACAGTGTGGTAATTAAACCTTCAGAGGGAAAAATAATCACAACTGTTCAGCCCTAAGGGAACTATGCTAAATGTTAATTAACCCTGGTCACACATTGTGGTGTTCCCAGTACTAAGCATGCCTTCTGTGTGTGCACTGACCCTTTTTTATGGCTGGCAGATGCTAGGGTGGGGATAACTTGGGTTTTGTCTCCGAGTCCATTGTCCATTGCACTCAGGATCTTGATCATGGCCCTCCCACCCCCAATTGGAACTGGAACACCCAATGAGAGTCCACAGACTGTTTTTCAAGATATTATGGCAACAAATGGCTCCAAATGCTAACAGAGTCCAAGTAGCAAAAAGCCAGCCCTGCACATTCAGACCTGCACACCTGGCCCTGGACACCCAGCCCTGAGTATCCAGCCTTGTGCACCTGGCCCTGTGCACTCAGCCCTGTGCACCCAGCCCTGAGAGTATCCAGTCCAAGGACAGTTATTTCGGGCTTCCCTCCACACCAGCTCCCTGAGTCTGACAGTGCTTTGAATATGCAAGGTGTGGACCTAAAGAGAAGGTCTGTAGCAAGTCCGCGGCCCCACACCTTGCCCATGCATGGCTCCTGGCTTTGACTTTTTCCTTCTGAATCCTTAGAGACTCCCCTATTGTAATGGTCCTCCCTATTACCTTATTCACATATTTCTTCCCTCTCCCTCTGTCCCACTGTAATAGGAACTTCCTTATGTCCTTCTGTATCAATGCTGGTCCTATTAGACCCTCTTCCCCTTCATCACCCTCTTCCATTAAGCCAAGTCTCTTCCAAAGAGGCCAATAGTTGAGAACAAGGCCCAGCAATTTACTATACCCTGGCAGCTTGTGCTTTTGAGAAACTAGAGACATTTTCTCCAGATGGGGAGTCAGGACCACAGTTCCATGGCCTGTGCTGACCTACTATCCTCATTAAGGTTAAAGAAACAAATAGATGTGGGTTCCTAGCACACCACTCCCCACTGTCAGCCCTGCCTCCTCCACAGCACTCACCGTCACACTTTGCCTATGTGTGCTGGCTCATCCAGTCCCCACACCGTCCCGACACCAGCAATCTCAGCGCCCCCATTCCATGAGACTTGTTCCCACAACTGGCATCAGTTGGTCCCTGAACTGAGTGCAGGCCCCACCTGTCCCTTCTTATCTGCCACTGTTGCTCTAACCTTTTACTCAGGTTTTTGATTCAGGCCACCTAATTCTAGAAATGGACCTACCAGCCTAGGCAGGGATGCCGATTACATTTTTAGCTTCTGGAAGCCCGATTCTCCAGTGGACAAGCAGGGCCCAATCCAAGATTTGGATTTCTTTAGACAGTCACACATCTGACACACACAAACTGTAAGTAAAATCATATGCCACATAACTATGTCTTGGTCAATGATGGACAGTACACACAATGGTGGTCTCCTAATATTATAACCCTGTCTTCTTACTGTACCTTTTCTATGTTTAGATATGTTTAGATCCTCAGACGCTCAGCATTGTGTTTGCCATATCGTCCGCAGTATTGGTGCAGTAACATGCTGGGCAGGTTTGTAGCCCAGGAGCAGTAGGCTGTACCACACAGTCGAGGTGTATAGTAGGCTAGACCACTTGACTACACTACACTCAGAGGTTCACACAAGAATGACATCACCTGACAGTTCTCAAAACTTATCCCCATTGTTATATGACACGTGACTCATTTTGCTCAATGAATTGCCGCAAATTGAATATACTCATGTCACTGATCAGGTCAAAAAACCAAATACCAAGTCACCCTAGCAATCCAGCTCTGGCGTCCCCCCAGTCTCTGCTCACCTCCTCCCAATAGAAAGCATCCTTCTGACTTCTCCAACTTCTGACTGAAGTTTTGTTTTGCCTACTTTTGAACTTCCTATACATAGAATTATACAACATGCACTTTTTGTGTATTTTTTTTTTCTTTTTTAGAGACAGAGTCTCACTTTGTTGCCCTTGGTAGAGTGCTGTGGCATCATACAGCTCAGAGCATCCTCCATCTCTTGGGCTTAGGTGATTCTCTTGCCACAGCCTTCAGAGTAGCTGGGACTACAGGAGCCTGCCACAATGCCCTGCTATTTTTTTGTTGCAGTGTGGCCAGGCCCAGGTTTGAACCTGCCACCCTCGGTATATGGGGCCAGTGCCTTACTCACTGAGCCACAGGCGCCGCCCACTTTTTGTGTATTTTTTCACTTTACATTATTTTGTGATTCATCCTGATTATACGTAGTTCTACACAATTCATTCTCATCTAATCTCATTCCTCTTTATGTTACACTCAATGAAATGCCATTGTTTATTCATTCCACTGTTGATGGACATTCGAGTGGTTTCCAGTTTTGCAAACTTTGGGTATTGCTGAAACTGACAGCGACTCTCGAGGCGGGACAGCCCTGAATGCCTCGGGACCACTCCGTGCTCCTCTCCAGCTTTGGCCCCTGCTTTAAATGCTTAGTGTGCTGCCTGCCACGTCTCCTATCAACCCCAAATTAAATTTCAAGTACCTTTTTTGTTTCCAAAAATGCAAAAGTCTCATTTTTCGCAAGCAAATTCTGAACAGATTCCTCCATTTTTTCTGGGGTCTTCTGCTGTCTAGGTCTCCTCGCCTGCCCCACTCCATCTGGAATAGATGGCCTGAGGCCAAAGTAACAGGGAGCAGAGCCCACATGTACCACTTGATTTCCAGGAGTCTGATTTTTCTTTCCAATACAGATTGCAAAAACTGAGTTTGGAAAACAAGGGGCATAATGTGCTCAGGGCCAGGAGAGGAACAGTAGGGATTAGCTAGCACACACCAGGCTGAAGATTAAGGCTGTTATACAAGCTCTGCCCAAAGTCAGTGGTCAATGACTCTAGGACGAATAAATGAATCAATGAGGATTTGAAGGTAAAAGGATAGAACAAAACTCTAAGATATGGGATAAAACTCTGCATATGGGAGAATGAGTCCTGTGCTTGTATGATCAAATATTATTAGACTTGGAGCCAATGTGGTTTTCAGTCTTCGGCATCTGAAGGGGGGAATCTGAAGGCGTTTTAAGGAGAACATGGCAGCCACTCCTTCATTTCAGACATCAAGGACCAGAAGCACACTGGCCTGAAGATGGGGAGAGGAAGGTTCTAGCTATTCCTGCTCTGCCAATAATTACCTTTATATAAACATGTGCCTGTAACAATGTACTTTTATCTGCCTGAAGGCCAGGCAGTGTATTTATACCCTTGTCTGTGAATCTTCACAGAAAGACCCTGGCCTATGTGGTTACCCACTATTATTTTTTATCATCACAATTATCAACTTTACATTTTGTTGCCTTTTGAGCAGGTTTCCATCCTATATACTCTGAGATACCCTTTGGTGGGGGGGAACATCTGGAACTTTCTATCAGGGAATTAGTTTTATATAAAATGTTTATCGGGTGGTGCCTGTGGCTCAAGGAGTAGGGCACCAGCCCCATATACTGGAGGTTGTGGGTTCAAACCTGGCCCTGGCCAAAAACTGCAAAAATAAATAAATAAATAAATAAATTGTTAAAAGAAAAGAAAAGAAAAGAAAAGAATTCTTGAAAAAAAATGTTTATCACATTAGAATCTGGTTTAGTCAGAGCAGCATGGTTGTGTTACAGTAATTAGAAATTCTACAGACGGGCGGCACATGTGGCTCAGTGGGTAGGGCACTGGCCCCATATACTGAGGGTGGTGGGTTCAAACCCAGCCCCGGCCAAACTGTAACAAAAAACAGCTGGGTGTTGTGGCAGGTGCCTGTAGTCCCAGCTACTTGGGAGGCAAGAGAATTGCCTAAGCCCAGAAGTTGGAGGTTGCTGTGAGCTGCGATGCCACAGCACTCTACTGAGGGCAAAAAAGTAAGACTCTGTCTCAAAAAACAAAACAAAACAAAACAAAAAGAAATTCTACAGACACTCCTGTGTCCTCCTCTGATTCCAGATACTCCTCCCTTCTCTCCAAAAATTTCACCGAAGGAAGACCTTGAAGACTCTGAGCTCTGTGATGAACCCTGAAGATGAGGGTGAGTTCTAGACACATGATGGCTACATTCTGGGAGAGACAGAAGCTTAGCAGAGGCAGCATCTACCCAAACTGGTGCTGACTCGGGGCTGGTAATGCAGGGAGGGACTCACTCCTGGCTTCTAACCTAGTTGGGTAAGTCACCACAATGTCATGGGTGTGCCTTCACACCAGACTCACTTTAACAGAACACTGAGCACTTCCCGTGGCTGGAGGCATGGCATCCAGACCCAGTGACATTGGCTCCCTCACTGCAGCACTCCGGCAACAGTTTTTATCTGAGGGAGGGTCGTTCTGGGTCAGTCTTTCTGGCTTAAAGCCAAGAATAGGAACCAGGTGAGTTTCAGTTCTCCCTGGCCCTGGCACCCTTGGGACAGATGGTAGAAAATGCATGTTGGCCTGATTTTTAGAGGAACTAGTCCTTCATGAGATCCTCAATCAATTATGAACAATTAAAAAACACTCTTGAACTGTACACTATGTTATGCAGTTTACAAAACTGTTTCAAGGTAAGTGGTTTTCAATACAGAATTTGCATTACAATAAGGGAGCTTCTTAAAATTACTCAGCCCTATGCCCTGTCCCTAGATATTCTGGTTAATTGGTTCCAGGTTGGGTCCACATGGACTTCTCTAGATGATTCTAAAGTGAAATCACTCACTTACATGATGTCACCTAACACAGTGGTCCCCAAACGTTTTACACCGGGCACTGGTGTCATGGAAGATGATTTTTCCACAGCAGAGGGCAGGATAGAGTGGGGGGATGGGGATGGGTGGATGGAGCTCCGGCAGTCAGCACTGGGGAGCTGCTGCGGCTGTAAATACAGATGAAGCTGCTTCCCTTGATCATCTGCCAATTCACCTCCTGTGCTGCACCTGGCTCCTAAGTTTCCCAGAAGACAATTTTTCCACCTACCAGGACAGGAGGAGAGGGAGGGAGCAGAGCTCTGTGGCCCTGCTCCAGTCTGGGGGTGGGGGCTACTGCAGACCTAACCGCTATGCAGGAAGAGAAAGGAGGTTCCGAGAGGGGCCTGGCTCTGTCTGATGGCACACCTTTCGGCAGCCCAGCCTGAGGGCATCCGTCTTTACATACTGAGTCCTCTCAGATTAACAAGGACAGAAGGACACAACTTTTATTTACAGGGCAATCTACAGTTTACAAAATGCTTTCACATCATTGTCACATTTTATTCTTATAAAATAAGGCATTCAGTGGGCATGCAGCTGTTATCATTACTACATTACTGCTCTGATTTCAGAGATGAGGAAACTGAGGCTCAAAGAAGAGGTTTAAACCCACAAATTTATCTTAAAAGCCTCCAGTGTGCTCAGAACTGTGGGGAGATAAAATCAGCAAGCCCTTGTATTGGGCATAGTTATACACTTATGTACACTTATATAAAATTTTTGTAATATTCATATGTGACATACTGATGTGTGATACGCTGTTTGCCAGGCACTGCCTGTTCACTTGCTCCACCCTCACGATAAGCCTGAGCTGTAGGTACTATTATTATTTCCAAGTAACAGATGTGGACCCTGAGGCCCAGAGAGGCTCTGTGAGTTGGGTAAGGTCATACAGCTGGTATATATGGAGGCTCTGTGAGTTGGGTAAGGTCATACAGCTGGTGTATATGGAGGAAGAGAAACTCAGCAGTTGAGCTCCGGGCTTGTATTAATCACCACGCTTTCAAAGGAGAAATGGTCCTGCCTTCAAGGACCTCTAGGAGTATAAAATCCACCCTAGCTGTGGCGGGTGGGGACAGGTTAGAGGATCTGGGGTTGCAGGTTCTGAGTCCTCTAAGGCTGCCCTCCTCCTGATGAGGGGCTCACTCAGCACACTCCCCTGACCCAAAGGGAGCTCTAATACTGTGGAGATGGACCCAGGGATGGCTCTTTAATAGCAATAGGTGTTTTGGGGCATTGTTCCAGGTCCCTCGCTTATCTCAGATACAATGTGTCAAAGTCTGGGTGGGGCCTAGGAAAGGGCATTTTTAATAAAGCACTTAGGTGATTCTTACTGCCCCTGGAGTTTGAAAGTCCCAACTCCCTGCTCATTTGCCTCAGGAGGAAAAGAACATCAGGAGTTACAGAATCAGGAAATTTTGGATATGAGAGAAACCATAGGACTTGAAAAGTATCTGGAATAAACCCCTCATTTTACATGTGGGGCAACTGAGGCCTAGAAGGATGAAGTACCTGGGCCTTGGCGCTTCAGGGTGGTAACATCTAAGAATTATGACAAGTCTAAGAAGAAATTCTCAAGAACATTGTTCTTAGAGAGGAAAAACACTTTTTCCTTGGGGGAAAGAACCTTGGGAATCCATTCCCAGGAGCAGTAAAAACTCCTGGAGTCCATCAGAATTTGGTTTTCCTTTCTTTTCTGGCCACACAGTTGAAAGTTCACCTCATTGCCTCCTCTGTAGTTGATAGGGTCAGGTGGTGGAGTTGTGGCCTCTGAAGGTGGGTAGACATAATATGCTTTACAGTCAATGACAGACAGCGTGTAGTACAGTGATCCCCGAAGATGATAATGGAGCTGAGAAATTCCTATTGCACAGTGACGTCTTGGCCATGGCAATAGGGCAGCACAGTGCATTACTCTTGTGTTTACGGCTGGTGTAAACACACGTACTGCCGGGCCAGCTGCATAAAAGCATAGCCCATACCATTATGTACAGTACATGGTTCTTGCTAATGATAGTAAATGACATCTTACTGGTTTATGGATTTGCTGTACTTTTGTTATTTTAGAGTGTATTGGTTCTACTTATTAAAAAAAAGTTAACTATAATGTAGCCTCAGTTAGCTCCTGCAAGAGGTCTTTGAGAAGGTGTGTTATTGCTCCAGAAGGCCTTGCAGTGGAACACCATGTGGGAGGTGGGCGGTGGTGATCCTGGCAATCCTCACTGTGTGTAGGTATGTTTGCGCCTTCGTTTTTAACAAAAACGTTTAAAAAGTAAAACAAAAATAAAACATTTTAAAGACAGAAAAAGTTTATAGAATAAGGACATAAAGAAAGATAATATTTTTGTGGAGTTGTATAATGCATTTATTTTAAGCTAAGATCCAAAAGGTTAAAAGAATCAAAATGTTTATAAAATGAAAAGTTACAGTAAGCTAAGGTTAATTTATTATAGAAGAAAGAAACATTTTAAAAGTAAATTAGCTGTAGCCTAAGCGTACAATGTTTATAAATGTCCTAGGCCTTCACAATCACTCCCCACTCCCTCAATGATTCACCCAGAGCAACTTCCAGTCCTGCAAACTCCCTTCATGGTAAGTGCCCTATACAGGTGTACTGTTTTTGTTTTAAACTTTCATACCGTATTTTGTACTTTACCTTTTCTATGTTGAGATACGTGTAGATATATAAACAGCATAGTGTTAGAATTACCTACAGTATTCGGTCAGTGATTGCTGTTCAGGTGTATATCCTGGGAGCAGTAGGCTATACCATATTCCTAGATCTGCTGGAGACTATCTCATCTGCATTTGTGTAAGTACATTCTATGATGCTCACACAATCACAAAATCACCTGTGGGGTGTGGTGGCTCATGCCCGTAATCCCAGCCCTTGGGAGGCAGAGGCAGGTGGGTTGCCTAAGC